AATGCTTTTTAAATGGTCTCGTAAGCCTGACAGCGTTTTCAAAGTCGTCTAAGCGCAGCCAGTGAGACTTCTGTGGGTGGTCCTGGAATTGGAATCTGCCCATTTCCCTTCTACAACATGACTGTTTCCAGATGCGGAAATTGCTGTAATATTTATGCTAATGTAATGCTGATGGCAGCGAATATCGATGACATGGATACATTTAGGAGTGTCTGCGTCTAGCTGCTGTTATGGGATTCAGACACGACTCTTAAAGCTGACCTCCAGCCTTCCCCTCAGTCTTGCACAGTTGTACCGGCTCCTCTCCTGGACTGGAATGGCTTACTCTGATTTCACTGCACACTGTGAGCTTCTCACAATGTGCATTAGAAGCTGCAGCATGTCAGATAGAACCTCATTTCCTGGCTGGGGGACAGTCAGCATCATCTAGCTCTTTACTGACCTGCTCTTTTAATTCATCGGATTTCAGTTCTTCCCATGAAGGAGGCTCAGAATCACATGTGGGCAATACCTTGTATGTTCTGCTTGCAAATACAGCCTGCCTATGAATGCTCACTCCTCCAGATTCACATCCATCCAGAAAGGCATTTTGAAATTTGCATAACTCCCACTACTTGCAGAGCTCTTTAGAGTACTGAGGCAGGGTGCTGTGATGTTTTCAGGAAGCTATGTATAGCCCCTGCTTGCTCTCCCAGCAGCCTGCATGGCATAGAGAAGCACAGAGACCCAGTGATGACAACACTTGGCATAAAATAAGGTATGTAATGAAAACAGAAAGTAATTAGCATGCTGATTAGGGTGAATAGAGGATCCCGTGAAGGCAACATATAAAAAAAAAAGATAAATATCAACTTCAATATTTATGTTAATGCAATGCTGAGGACAGTGAATATCATTGACATGGACACATTGGGGAGTGCCATCATCTAGAGGGTCTCATTGGATTTGGGCACAGTACTTAAAGCGGAGTTCCACCCAAAAGGGGAAGTTCTGCTTTAAGGACTGCTCCCCCACTCCCCATTAAGGATTGGCACCTTTGGGGGGCGCGGGTACCCGAATTTGACAGGTACCCGCTCCCACTTCCGGTCCGATCGCCTAGGCAATCGGAAGCGGAAGGTGCCCTCCCCCCCTCCCTCCCTGTAGTCTTTTGGGACACGTGACAGATCCAAGAAGACTACAGGACCATTCAGGAAGTACAGCACTTCTTGCTCATGCGCAGTGGGCACCCAGCTGTGAAGCCTCAAGCTATCACAGCTGGGTGCCCACACTGAAGATGCCGGCCTCCTGGAATACAGGACGGCCGGTGGAACGGGCTGTGGGGGACACACCGCGGGACCGAGGGACAGGTAAGTGGCTGTTTTTTAAAAGTCAGCAGCTACAGTTTTTGTAGCTGCTGACTTTTATTTTTTGACAGGTGAGTGGAACTCCGCTTTAATGCAAGTAATAGATCCAAGGAGCTTTCATTGCCTCCAGCACCCCTTCAATTAAAAAAAAACCCCTCTAAAGCCAAAACATTTTAATTTTGGATAGAGCGCAAAAAGCCAAAACTCCCATCTGTAATCAAAAGTAGCCATTTTATTATGTATGTCTTTCTAATCTTTAAAGCAAATATTGTATTATTATGGTCTGTAGTAAACCATTCTGGCCACTAGATGGTGGTGGGGAGCACAGGAAATAGAAATGTCTAACAAGCAATACAATGTAACAATTCTAGAGATTGCTAGCTGCCATTGGTTACTTTAACCCTTTCAATACCGGGAACTTACCCTTCCTGCCCAGGCCAGCTTTCAACGCTGTCGCACTTTGAATTACAATTGCACGGTCATGCAACTCTGTACTAAAACTAAAATGTTAACTTTTTTTCACACAAATAGAGCTTTTTTCGGTGGCATTTAATCACCACTGTTTTTTTGGGGTTTTTTTGCTGAATAAATGAAAAAAGTCTAAACATAAAAAAAAAAAAGCATTTTTCTTTGTTTCTTTTATAATATTTTGCAAATAATTGTTTTTCATACATTTAGACCAAAATGTATCCAGCTACACTTCTTTGGTGAAAATAACCCAAATCATTGTTTATTATTTAGTCTGTAGGAATCATAGAGTCCACAAACTATGGTATATATCTGAAAATCGATCAGTCCTGATGTACTGACGGCCGATCTCATTTCTTGAGGCCCAAAAATGTCAGGACAGTACAAATATCCCCCAAATGACCCCTTTTTGGAAAGTAGACAGTCCAATGTATTTAATAAGAGGCATAGTGAGATTTTTGACATTTTTTGTCACAATATTTTGCAAAATGAAGAAATTAAAAAAAAATCACAATTCTTTTTTACATACTGTCACCAGTGCAGTACAGTGTCATATATTTGGTGTTGTGGTAATGAGGGATACTGACTGGCGACAGTATGAAAAAAAAAAATAAATTTTTTTTTCAATTTTTTTTATTTTATTTTGGGTTTTTTTTTTATTATTATTTTTTTTTTTTTATGATTGTTTTTTTTAAACTCTGTGACCAGAGCAATATAATGTTACCATAGTAACATTTTGCTACTTTGGAAAAGTGATCAGGATTTTTTTTTTTTATACATTATGATTGCTTCTAGCAGTGAATTTCATTGCTATAAACAAGCATTTTACTGAATGAATTCAGTGGTTTTTTTGTTGTGATTAGCTGTGATTGGCAACAGCTAATCACATGGTACAGAGGGGGCTGTGATTGTCCCTGTCTGTTCCATGTGATCACTGTGACCAACCACAGCTAGCAACACAGTTGTATACAATGAATGACATGAATCGAAGCCATTCATTGTTTACAGTTGTCATGTGATCTGCTGTGATTGGTCACAATGTTCACATGGTACTGGCAGTGGGCCAGTACACTGATCAGTCCTCAGTTATAGGCCGGCCAGAAGTGGTTAAAGCTGGCCATAGACAGATCGAAATTCAGCTGGTTCAGCAGAAACTGACTGAATTTTGATCCATATACTGTATTGGCAGGCTGGTTGCACTGAAATCGATCTAACCTCCCGCTCTCAGTAGGGATTTCCGCTCAAGCACTTTTCTTTTCTTCAACCTGTGGTTGAAGGAAAGAAAATTGGTTAATGTATGGCCTGCTTAAGGCCCCTTTCACACAAGGCAGATTCTGTTCCAATGAGCAGTGAATCACCTTACAGATCTTTCCATTCAGATCAGCAGGAGATCACATCACAGATCTTTCTGTTTAGATCAGCAGTGGATCACTTTACAGATCTTACTGTTCCGATCAGCGGGGCATCACCTCACAGATCTTTCTGTTCAGATCAGCAGGGGATCACCCCACAGATCTTTCTGTTCCGATCAGCAGGGGATGACTTAACAGATCTTTCTGTTCTGATCAGCAGGGGATCACTTCACAGATCTTTCCGTTCAGATCAGCAGGGGATCACCTCACAGATCTTTCCATTCTGATCAGCGGGGGATCACCTCACAGATCTCTCCGTTCCGATCAGCAGGGGATCACTTCACAGCTCTTTCAGTTCAGATCAGCAGGGGATCACCTCACAGATCTTTCCATCCCGATCAGCAGGGGATCGCCTCACAGATCTTTCCATCCCGATCAGCAGGGGATCACCTCACAGATCTTTCCGTTCCGATCAGCAGGGGATCACTTCACAGATCTTTCCGTTCTGATCAGCAGGGGATCACCTCACAGATCTTTCCGTTCTGATCAGCAGGGGATCACCTCACAGATCTTTCCGTTCCGATCAGCAGGGGATCACTTCACAGATCTTTCCGTTCTGATCAGCAGGAGATCACTTCACAGATCTTTCCGTTCCGATCAGCAGGGGATCACCTTACAGATCTTTCCGTTCAGATCAGCAGGGGATCACCTCACAGATCTTTCCATCCCCGATCAGTGGGGGATCACTTCACAGCTCTTTCTGTTCAGATCAGCAGGGGATCACCTCACAGATCTTTCTGTTCCGATCAGTAGGGGGATCACCTCACAGATCTTTCTGTTCCGATCAGTAGGGGGATCACCTCACAGATCTTTCTGTTCTGATTAGCAGGGGATCACCTCACAGATCTTTCTGTTCTGATTAGCAGGGGATCACCTCACAGATCTTTCCGTCCCCGATCAGCGGGGGATCACCTCACAGATCTTTCTGTTCCAATCAGCAGGGGATCACTTCACAGATCTTTCTGTTCCGACCAGCAGGGGATCACTTCACAGATCTTTCCGTTCCAATCAGCAGGGGATCACTTCACAGATCCTCTGCTGCTCTGAGCAGGGCAGGCAGATGACACAAGAGCCCATGGGTGGCCGGGAGTAAACGGTCTCCGCTGTCTGATTACACCTGATTACCTTCCGATCTGCCTAAACAGAAGAGGGCGAAGAAACCTAAACAACACTTTGAATTGTATCCAATTAGGCAGGTCCTTGCACTACATAGTTGAAGGTAAATCTAAAGGAAATTGGGCAGAAATTGGACAGAAAATTGTATAGTGTATGGCCAACCTTAGTCTGCACTTAGGCTATGCTCACACTAGCTTTGTCAGCAGGCGTCAGACAGGCATTTGGGAAGCGTTTTTAATGCTTCTCAAATGCCTATGAAAATTCTGCACATGGCAGAACACAGTGCTGTTCACACTGAGGCGTTAGCATCGCATTGGCAAAACTGCCACCTCATGTCGAGTCAGGAGGAGTTGAAGCCTCCCATTCAAGTCAATGGTGCCGCTTTTCAAACGCCTGGCAGGCGTCTGTGGGGCAGTTGCGACAGCGTTATAAGGCCTTTGCGGAGAGCTAATACCATTTAACTTCATTATAGGCGTTTGTGGTGCGGTTTTAATGTTTGGCAAACGCCTATCAAATGCCTCAAAACTGCACATAGGGCATTTGAGGAGCGTTTCGGGAGCATTTGAGGAGCTTTAAAAAAATGCCTGTCTAACGCCTGTCAAACACGTTAGACGCTGTCAAGGGGCATTTGGCAAGAGTTAGTAATAAAGTCAAGTGTGAACCAGGGGCGGACTGACCATTTGGAAACTCAGGCAATGCCCGAGGGCCCGGGGTCAGTAGGGGGCCCCATGAGATGCCCCTGGTACCTTTTTCATAGGCTTTTTTGAGTTTGGGCAAGGACACAGGGGCCCCATGATTCCTTATTGCCCGGGGCCCCATGAGTTGTCAGTCTGGCCCTGGTTTGAACGAGCCCTTATGGACTTTGGTTTTTGCCCAATTCACACAGAATGATTGTACATACATGGATTTGCTGGGTGAATAACTATGTGAATATTTTAATAACTAGTCCCCTATGCATGTAATGCCAAATTTAGAAAGCCAACTCATTTGTACATTAGACTATTTGCTGCGGAAGGACTTCCCACATTCCACTAATTACTCTTTGCAGCAACTAAAGAGTTCAGAACACTCAGTGCTGCGCTCTCAAGTGGTGTATTTCCTGCGCGTTTAGATATTCTGGATAGGATCATCGCGATGACATACGTATGATGCGTGTTATTTTTCATTATTAGGAGTGAATACTTGCGTAAGTAACAAACACTTGCTGTTGGGAACAATCAATTACAGGTACTTTGACATTTTGCTATTGAGACACAATCTACTATCCACGAGTCTAACATATGAGAGCATTACTATCCAGGAGGTTATCATAGATGATTCTTATACACTATATTACCAGAAGTATTGGCCCCGCCCGCCAACTCATTGGATTTAGGTGTTCCAATCCCCTCCATGGACACAGGTGTATAATATCAAGCACCTAGGCATGCAGACTGCTTCTACAAGCATTGGTGAAAGAATGGGTCGCTCTCAGGAGCTCAGGGACTCCGAGCGTGGTCCCATGATAGGTTGCCACCTGTGCAATAAGTCCATCCGTGACATTTCCTGGCTACTAAATATTCCACGCTCAACTGTTAGTGGGATTATAACAAAGTGGAAGCAACTGGGAACAACAGCAACTCAGCCACCAAGTGGTAGGCCACGTCACATGACAGAGGGGGGCAGCGCATGCTGAAGCGCACAGTGTGCAGAAGTCGCCAACTATCTGCAGAGTCAATAGCTAAAGACCTCCAAACTTGGTGTGGCCTTCAGATTAGCACAACAACAATGTGTAGAGAGCTTCATGGAATGGGTTTCCATGGCCGAGCACCTGCATCCAAGCCTTACATCACCAAGTGCAATGCAACGCGTCGGATGCTGTGGTGTAAAGTGCGCCGCCACTGGACTCTAGAGCAGTGGAGACATGTTCCCTGGAGTGACCAATCACGATTGTCTGGCAATCCGATAGACATGTCTGGGTTCAGCATTTGCCAGGAGAACAGTAGTTGCCTGACTGCATTGTGCCAAGTGTAAAGTTTGGTGGAGGGGAGATTATGGTGTGTGGTTGTTTTTCAGGGGTTGGGGTTGGCCCCCTAGTTCCAGTGAAGGGAACTCTTAAGGCGTCAGCATACCAAGACATTTTGGACAATTTCATGCTGCCAACTTTGTGGGAAGAGTTTGGGGATGGCCCCTTCCTGTTCCAACATGACTGCGCACCAGTGCACAAAGCAAGGTCCATAAAGACATGGAGGAGCCAGTTTGGGGTGGAGGAACTTGACTGGCCTGCACAGAGTCCTGACCTCAACCCGATAGAACATCTTTGGGATGAATTAGAGCGGAGACTGCGAGCCAGGCCTCCTCCCCCGACATCAGTGCCTGACCTGACAAATGTGCTTCTGGAAGAATGGTCAAACCTTCCCATAGACACCCTCCTAAACCTTGTGGATGGCCTTCCCAGAAGAGTTGAAGCTGTTATAGCTGCAAAGGGCAGGGCCAACTCAATATTGAACCCTAGGGACTAAGACTGGGGAGCCAATAAAGGTCATGTGTGTGGAAAGGCAGGCGGCCCAATACTTAGGGCATTATAGTGTGTGTATATATATATATAGTACATTCACATCAGTCCCTGCCCTCAAGAAGCGTATCTATTATCTAAGCAATCTAAGGTCCTTAGATTGCTTAGATAATAGATACGCTTCTTGAGGGCAGGGACTGATGTGAATGTACTATATATATATATATATATGTAAAAGGAGGACTGGTAGTGGAGTCTTTACAGTAAGGGCACTCAAGCAATGACACTTTACTTTGAGAGCAGCCGGATGCACATGGAAATTTTTTTCCTGTATGAGCAGTAGAACCTGTAAGTTCTATAAGAGCTGCCTAACTGTGGAGTCTTTACTGTAAGAGCAGTCAGATCAGGAAACCTGAGAAACTCCTAGTTCTTATTCTTCACATCCACCATCACAGGAGTGAGCTTTCCCTGGTTCAAACCTCTTCACATGCTCTCTCCTTCCCTTGAAGCAGTAGCTCTGAGCTCAGTGTTTGAGAGCTCGCTTCTCTGATGGTGGATGTGAACAATAACAGCTGGGAGTGTCTTAGCAACGTCCTAGCAACAAGTCAGGATGGAATGATGCCATCTCTGAGAGTTTTTCAGTCAGGGTTCAGGAGGAACATAAATGACCTACACCTATAGCAAAGGCATTATTGAAATTTGGTCAAAGCTGCACAGTTTGTTTTTATAGGCAGTTTTTTTGGTACAGGTGAACTTACCCTTTAAGTACGCCCATGTGAATTAGGCCTTGAGTTCTGTTTGATCTGCAGTTTCCATGGTGCAGCACACGTGACCACTTATGACACCAGCAATTTGATGGCCTGTCGGTTCGGTTTGTGAGCTTACATAAGCACACTAGGAGCTGTAACTGTTATCATTCATGGCTTGCCTTGAATGTAACTGATTTGGGAAACCGGTAGATCAGTGGGTTTCATTCGGTCAGCCTGAAGTCATTTAGCAGAGATTTGAGTGGGTTCGATATCTGCAGTGCAGGCGCAGGATCTACACGGCTCCAACCTATGGAGGTGATATCTGGGTGGTTAATGTTTGTCTTGCTGTCACTTTGTTCCTGGCCTGATTGGTAATCAGGATGGCTCCATTGTTTGCATATGTTTGTATGTTGTTTGCATATGGCATATGTGCGGCAGCAATGAGGGTGGGCTTTAACCCCCACATGCTGCATGTATGTGTCAATGGGTGGCCCGGGTTTCCACGCTGACAGCACACTCGCTGCACGCTCCCAGCACAGTGACTGAGCTGTCATAGACAGCTACTGGTCTCTAGCAATGGGCGGGAGCCAAAGGGGAAGGTGGGCTTTTCACACAAATCTGCCAAACATATGTGTCCAAGGCGGCAGGAGGTTGTGTGCTGGGAGTGCGCCCACTGCTCGTCCTTGGCACACTGACCGAGCTGTTGCCAACATCTCCTGGATGAGCTCAAGCATGTTCAGACACAAGTGGGAATCCCGCATGGAAGCTGTCAAAGCCAACAGCAAATCATAGGTAGCAGAAGTGCTACCTGCCTGACAGCCGATTGTATGCAACGGATATGCCTCTATGCCGCTTCCTCTGATTGACTGTCAACTTTGGCATCTTCCCATGGGATAGCTCAGGCAGGTTCCAACTTCTGTTGGTCTAGGCTTCCAATCGGGGACCATTGGGACAGGCTTCTGATCATGTGACAGCTGTGACGAGATTGGGCAAGCCTTCCTAGGTGTAAAGACACTGGAGCTGAGTGGGAAGGGGGTCCATGTATTGTTGAAATATTGTAGCCTTTTATTCAGTCCAGTGGTGGCCATACATGCTTTAATAAACAATCTCCCTCGATAGGAACAATCAATCTGTAGAAGACAACTCAATCAATCGACATGCCACAGAGGATAGTTGATTAAGTTGAAAGATATGATCGTAAGATATCAATCGCATCTCTGTTTCCACCGTGTAATCTCATAATCTGATTGATCGTAATTGGATTTGATTCATGACCAAAGCATCTCAGTGCTGTCAATCGAGCCAAAACAATTGAGACTTTTCAGCCCTGGCTGATTGACTCAGTATAATTGGATCCAATCTACAGGCGTACCTCGGTTTATGAAAGCCTCGGTTAACATAATTTTCGATTTACGTATGAAAATCCACTGAAAATAATGGCTCGGTTTACGAATTTTTTTCGCAATACGAATGGATTCATTGGTTTTCAATGCATTTACAAATTTTTTTTAATCATGTCCCTGTACAGTATTTATGCCTTTAAAGTGCACTTTATAAAGAGTTTTGAACAGATAAAACTATTTTTCACTTTTTAATGACCTCCGGAATGGATTAATTGGTTTTTAATGCATTTACGAATTAATTTGTAATCATGTCCCTGTACAGTATTTATGCCTTTAAAGTGCACTTTATAAAGAGTTTTGAACAGATAAAAGACTTTTTTTTTACTTTTTTCTGACCTCCAGAACGGATTCATTGGTTTTCAGTGCATTTACGAATTCATTTTTAATGTCCCTGTATAGTATTTATGCCTTTAAAGTGCACTTTATAAAGAGTTTTGAATAGATAAAATACTTTTTTTTACTTTTTTCTGACCTCTGGAACGGATTAATTGGTTTTCAATGCATTCCTATGCGAAACCGTGTTTCGGTTTACAAATTTTTTCGCAATACAAAAAGTCCCGCAGAACACATTAAATTCGTAAACCGAGGTACTCCTGTACATCGAGATTAAATGGATCATAAAGGGAAGTCATGGCTCTTTAATTGTTTGCTGGTTTGATTACTTTTATTGAATTGCACATTAACCAGATAGTAAAATTGAAGCGTGTATGGCCACCATTAAATGTCCGCTAGTAGGATAAGAAATGAGCATCTAATAAACATAAATGAAAGGCTTTCTAGTGATTATGGATGATGTGAACAGGAGAGCTAACACTCTACTGTACCCCACAGGACTGAACCACAGCTTATCGTGCCTTCTGCCTGCTGGTACCGTGTACTGACCCATGTGAGGTCCAGGCTAGCCATGTCCTCTGGGATACCCTGCCTGTCCTGCTGTCTGCTGACCCTACTTCTCCTGTTGCCCCGAGCCGGGGCTGGCTGTCCTTACAACTGTAAATGTGAACAAGAGACGAGCTACAGCGTCACCTGCAGGAATCGCTCCAACGTGCCTGAACTCCCGGAAAACACAGAGATATTGTGAGTACTTGTCCTTTATTACCAAGTGTGTGTGCTGTATTGCAAACACAAAAAAAAAAAAAAAAAATGACAGGCACTCAGATCACACGCATGTATTATAATATAATATAAATATTCATATAGAATGCA